CCCCGACCCCGCCCGCCCCATCCCCAGAGCCCCAAAGCTGCACCTGCCCCCACCCTGTAGATTAGAGGTGTCCCTTAAAATTTGATTGCACCTTGAACCACAAGTGCCCCTGGCAGAATCTGAGCAGCAACACAGCCCTCCCCAAGGATTTCACGGGGTTTAGTGGAAGTTGTGGCTTGGGGGTGTTTTTCTGTGGCAAAAGTGGTGCCAGGCCTGGCCTACACAGCTGTGGATTTCTGTGTGTGTTGCTGAGTTAATAACCCTCAGATCCTGAAAGACCGCGCCAGCTTCTTAATGATAAATTTGACTTTTTTTTTTTTTTTTTTAGCATGTATCTTTTTTGCAAAAACAGAAGATTCTGGGACAGTGCTCTGCTTAGCTTTCCAGCTCCGGTTGGGGAGCTAAGTAGCCCTTGGGTCCCAGTTGGGAATATTTCGCTTCTTAAATGATTTGGATGGGAGTCTATTCTCTCAGCTTTATGAGTACTGCCTGCCGTGTTTACCTTGCTCTGAGTGTTACTTTCTAAGCCATCGTCACCCTGGCATCTGTGGTCATTCAAGTCACCCCACACACATGACTTCGGGGTTACCCGCTCATCAGTCATCTGCGTCACCGTCATCACATAACCATCCTCATCACCCCTCCACCACCACTCTGAGTCTCGACTGTCCCTGCTCAAAGCGGATCAGCGTCTCCCCCTAGATCCTGGTACCCCACTCCAAGACATTAGTTCCCGATGCGTCCAGTCTTTTGTCACCTTTATCCCCAGGCCCTCCGCAACCTTGTCACCTCCTCCTGATCAGCTCAGTCTGCCAAGCCCCCCCCACCACCTGCAGCCCTGGATCCAGCATAGCCTGCATCCCCTTCCGGCTCCACCCTACAGCCCTCCCGTCCCCACAGGCTCCCCACCAAGCCCCTTCCCTCTCCAGCCGAGCGCCTGCTACCGACGCTCCCAAGGCCCCCCCACCATCAAGCCTCCCCAATCTCTGAGTACCCTTGCCCCAGGCCCTCATCTTTCTCCCGACTAAGTCATTCAAGCCGTCATCTCCTCTCAACAGGAGAAAGAAATACAAATTTGAAAAAGAACAAAAAAGAACTGTTGGCATGGCTGGGTGGGCGTCTGGTACCCCACCTGGCCTCTCTTGCCCTTGACCAGGCCAGCTAGTGATTCTGTTCCTCAGCTTCCCCAGTGTGAATTCTCAGACTGGACGCGCTGGTCACATTCTCTGCCCCATGCTTTCGGTCCCGAAGCCCCATCCCTGTGACGAGGAAGAGGTCTGGCTGTCTGTCCCTGTCCAACTTCTTGTCGATCATCAAGCCATCACCCACCACCCATCAGTCGGGAAGCATTCCCAAGCCCCTCCTGGGAGCGAGGCAGCCATGGGGAGTGGCAGGGCGACGGTCTGGGAGGGAGCCGAGCAGAGCAGGTGCTGTGCCCTGGGCAGGTGCTTCCCGTGAGGCCCTCATCTCACCTGCCCACGTGACAGATTGTTACCAGCACATGAGGAGGCCACCCTGCCCAAATCCCATAGCGCCCACTCGCATGCACCCCGAGCGGCCGGAGCAGCGTTAGTGGCCTCGCCACGGTTGTCACGTCATGCAGAAGTGGCCCGGCCCCCGTGGGCAGCCAGGCTCTGCGGAGAGGGTCGGGCCCTGCTGCCCACGCACACCTCACGTGTGCGGGTCCATGGTTTACGAATCAGACGGAGGAGCTCCGAGACACAGTCACCAATCTGGCCCCAAATTGAGAGAGGAGGAGGAGTGATGATCATTTTGTACCACAAATTAAAGGAATGTCAATGGCGCCCTTTTAGCTTTCCCGTTTACTGCAGATCCAGACATGCAAAAAACCTTGTTTATTGAAAAATAAACAACAAGGGCTAATCTGTGTCTGCTTCTGATTTCTTGTGCTCTGGCTGTGCTTGGCTACTTCTCATAGTGGCCTCTGACCCGGGAGAGGGAGTCAGGGGTCCATGCATTTGAGCCCTGGGGCTCAGGGGTGAGCCACCCAGCCCCAGCACCTCACCTGCACCCCCGACTGCACTCTGGGTACTTCGAAACTGGGACTTTCCTGCCTAAAGGGTCAGCCCACCTCCAGGGTCCACAGACCTCAGTCCTGTCTGTCTCCCATGGCGGCTGCTGGTGGGTGGCAGGGACTGAGCGGGGACACGCGGGTGATGGGGATGAGGGCTTCCACACCTGCAGTGCTGGCTGAACCAAAGCTCGCTCTCTCCATGCCCCAAATTCGAACTCAGAACTATGGGGACATGGCTGCCACAGGGACACCAGACCTTCCAGGGCTTAGCGATGGGGTGGGAGCTGAGGTGCAGGGCTGGAGCACCTTCCCCCTGATACTTAGCTGGGCAGACTTGCGACCTTTCGCAGGTCTCCATGGCAGGTGGACAGGCCCCTTGTGCCTTAATTGAGGCCCTGTATGAGCTGGGGGCTGCACCCTTCTGGCCTAGGCCTGTGGTCACCAGCTTACACACAGCTCAGAAAGCTGCTCTTTCGAATTCCCACAGAGCACCTGACCCAGAGCCACAGGCCCCCACCCCGGGAAGCAGGAACCTCAGTCCAGCCCCTTGGCCCTAGGTGTGGGGTCCTGCCTCAAGTCCTCCAGCAGCTCACCCTCCTCTCTGGATCTCTCCCCGATCAGGGTCGCTGCTACCGCCCACCCGCTGTCCATGCCAGGACCCAGGACCCTTTCTCGACATCAGCCCCTATGGCTAGGGACCCAGGCCCCCTCCCCTCTGTGCCCTTCTGGTCCCACCTCGGCTCACCCCCTCTCAGCACAGTGTAGCAGAAAGCACAGGAAGAGAGGAGGGACGAGCCTCCCAGCTGGACACTGTCCTGAAACAGAGACACTGTCCCGGGACAGAGCGTGATGGGGCTGAGTTGGCAGCGCAGCACTGCCAAGGGATGGTTTCCTAGGAACGTCGGCCCCCAATCCCCAGGGAAAACCTGGGAGAATACCCCGAGGAGGGCGAGGTCCCCCTGCGCTGGGCTCACAGTCCTCAGGACTCCCCGGCCAGAGAAACTGGTCCCAGCAAAGGAGTAGGAAAGTCGGGGACCTTCCCATATAGTGTCAAAGCTGGAAGGACTCCACTGCTAAACCCTGCTGAAGGAGGGCCTGCCCTGTAGCCTGTAGAGCCAGGGCCCTAGGATGGGGAGGCCAGGTGGGAGGTGGGCCTGGGTCCTGGGAGTTAGTGCTGCGAGGGGTCTTTGTGCTGTGCTCAGGGCCAGGAGGAAGCTGTGGGAAGTTCCCAGTGAGCTCCCAGGAAAAATGACTCACGTAGCAGCACACGGAGCAGGTGGGTGCAAGGAGGAGAGAGCCCGTGGGGCAGGAAATAAAGAGGAAGGCGGGCTTTGTGGCGTGGCCCTCGGTCAGGACCCAGTACAGGCTCCTAGCACAGAGCAGAGTGCTGGCAGCTTATGGCAGCTCAGCTCTGCACCTGGCTGGGCATCCGGCTCTGGCAGTGCCTGTCAGGCCACTGCAGATGACACGCAATGGCCTTAGACTCCTGGCTTCCTTTCTTAGCGACTCTCCCACTGCCAAGGAAAAAGAAAGCATCGGATCGTACACTGCCCAACCAAGAGCCCACTCCATTGGACCCACGTCTCCTGTTCGTGGGCAGGAGAAAGCCCTGCGCCAGCCACAGCGGGGAAGCGGAAATCCTAGCCAGCTGGGCAGTGCCAGGCTCAGCATGCTGAGTGGGCCTGGCCGTGGGAACTGCCGCACCCTGACCAGCTGCGGTGAGGGTGCCAACACAAGGCCTGACCACATTTCAGCCTGGAAACGGGTCTAAAGAAAAAAACGTTTAACTCTGATGGATAGACACCAGAGTGTATTTGATAAAATTATGGTAATTAAAATAAAACCTTAGCAAAAATACTTATTACCTTAATGTCATAAAGAATTTTGACCTTAAACTCATGTTCGGTAGCCCACCGATAATAAAACCTAAAAAGAAGCGAGAGCCAGGCACTTGGTGTAAAACAGGGAAGGGCTCTGGCTTTACAGTGGAGAGTCCCCACCAGTCACTTTGGCTGTTACTGGGGCAAACTTCATCTCTTCATGTCTGCTTCCTCATCTGCCAAGGAGAAGCTACGGAAAGCAATTAGTATCACTATGTTCTAGGGCTTCTAGCTAATACAATAAGACAAGAACAAGCAAAACAAGAGCTATAACTACTAGAAAGGAGATTAGGCAATTTTTAAAAATAATATTATTTAACTTTATTTATTTATTTATTTATTTATTTATTTCAATTTGACCAGAGTGAGAGAGAGAGAGAGAGGAAAATTGAGAAAGCAAGCCACTATGCCCAGGACTCAAATTGTGGTAGGCCATGTGGGAGTCCAGCACCCTTAACCACCATGCCACCTGCCAGCCCCGAGATTAGGTCATTAATTTTTACTGTCTACCAAAGAAATTCAAGAGAGTAAACTGAAGAAAGAACAGGAGATGTCGGTGGGATGAAACACATACTTAACACATACAAAAACCTGTATACCAGTAACAACCTGTTCTTTTTTTTATAATGACTTGAGTAATTAAGACTCAATACTACAAATTTGCTAATTATCCCCCAAATTGTTTTATACATTTTATGTTATCAATTTTGATTAGATCACTAGAAATAATCTGCTATTCCTTACAGAAAAAATAAAAGCGTGGGAATAAGCAAGAGAGAAAAAGCAACAGAGGGGCACTTCGCACCATCAAAAGTTAGAGCGGAAAGCTCCCAAGTTGGAACAGTGTCTTGGTTTGGTATAGAGCCCACGCTGAGTGTTGGTTTTCTGAGTAGCAGAATAAGTGGATGAATGCGTAAATGATAGAAGGAATTTAGATTTCTACCCTCATTATTTCT